TACTGTAATAAAATTTAAATTCTAAACTCAAATCGGTAAAATAAACGAGATTATAAAAACCTCACTTTATTAATTTTTTCAGTAGGGACCCACTTCACAACAAAATCAAGACTGAACCTTGCCCTTGGCTTCAAGCCACACGTCCATTTACCCAAAAATCTAGGCCATCCATTTTCCTCTCTCATCTATATATACCCCCACAAAACGACTAGTTGTAAGCAAAGAACAAATTTTCACTTGGCCATTAACCATGCTTCTACTCTAAAACCCAGAAACCCAGAAAACTCCAAAAACTCAAACCAGCCAAAGCCAAAGCTAAAAGCCATTTATCTTTATCTCGTTACTCTTTTTCATTCTAGCATTATGATGGCTAGGATTTATCTGCTTGGCTTGATTCTAGTTGGTATCTTGGTGATCCAAACCTTGGCGGCCAAATCTGAGCTCAACCCAGCTGACCAGGTCCAAAGTGGGGCCAGGAGCAGAGTAGCAGATCAGCCTGTTTCCAGTGCAGAGGAGAGATCTGAGGGCAAGGAAGCGTCTGATGATGAGAATGAGGCTGAGGCTCCGGCAATCAGGCGGCTGGGAAAGCACCACTCCGATAAGTCTATGGCTGGTGGCGGTGTGATTATTGGTGGGCTCGTGACGGCTATTTTTGCAGCTGTTTTTTGCTACATTCGGGTTACAAGGAAAAGAAACAGTGTTCTTTGAGCTCCCTCGGTGAATCTCTTGGGTGTTTTTTTTTTTTTTTTTTTTTCACTTATTAGTTAGGCGTTCATTCTTTTGGAATAGGAGGAAAGAAGTAATTTTTATACAGGCACATAATTTGTGGGTGATACATATGGAAAGCTCCTGTAATTTTTTTTTATTTCTTTCTATTTTTGTGCATATTAATTATGTATTAATACTAAATTTACTAGCAAGGAAGAAAAGGGACTGCTAGATTCAGGTCCCAATGACTACATATCTAATATCTTTTATTTTTTTTTAAGGAATTTTCGGAATTTTTTTATTTTGCTTCATCTCATTTTCCTCTCCATGGTTATAAAATTTTCCATTTTTCTCTTCTATTGCTCTAATAGTGGAAGAAAGAAGAAATCTGGTGATAAAGAAGAGACCAATCTGATTATCTGATGCCTCAAATCGGATTTTGGGCATTTACTCTGCTTTGGTAACTTGAACACTGTTATTTATTCAGAATAAATTACTCTTTTTGCTTGGAGGTTATGAACGAACCATGTTTGAAAGTCTTGGTAGAAAACAAAAGTAAATAAATGAAAACAGGTTGAAAAGAAAAAAAAAGACGTTTACTTCAATACTCCAAGGCGGTGGGAATAATTATAAGAAGTGCCTGAAATGAAAAGTTGCTGGATCCTATAATTTCTGTTGAAAAGATGTTCAGTGCCTCTTTTGAGGTTATATATTGCAAGTTGCAACTTGCAAACGGCTTGCAAAGTCAAATGACAGATTTCCCCTCGTTGGTGGGTTTTGTTTTTGTTTTTGTTTTTTTTTTCTTTTTGAAATTGGTGGGTTTTGTTGTTTATTTAATTCATATATATTTTTTAAATAATTTGGTTGCTGAAAGTTTTCTCGTGGGTTGCAACGCGGAATGGCATAATGTAAGCCAGGATCTGATATCTGCCACCTGATTTTCTTTTGGAAGCAAGTCAACAAGAAGGGACAAAATCTTTGTTTTGTTCTAATCTCACGTGAACATGATGTCCTTTGCCAGTTGCCTCCATAAAATCCCTTTTTCTTTTGGGTTTTATTTTGGGCATGAATTTGACCAAGTAAAAAGGTCTTCTCTTCACAACTACGGTTTGCCTTTAGCTTTAATGGCTTCCCCCCAACTAGATGCTACGGTTCTGCAAAGTCTGTTCCTTTTCAACAAATCAAAACTACCCCAATCAATACTAACTAATGAGATGAGTTATTGCGAAGTTATTTGCTAGGCGGCAAACGAAAATCAGGCAAGTCAAATGGGACTCCAAGCGGGTTTTTTTTTTTTTTTTTTGTTTTTTGTTTTTTTAAGAGGAACACTCTGAAGGCGAAACAGGAAAATTAAATTAATTAATTACAACTAGAACAACAGTATGCAGTTACAAAGTTTTGGATGTAGCTAAGCACCTCTTCAAGCCAATATCTATTCTCTGCAGAATTAAAACCAAAGCAAGCTAATTGTGGGCAACTCTATTCCTATAACGAGGAAAAAACTTAAAACAAACATTAAGAAAGTTAGGAACAAAGGATAAAATGTCCCTTACAATTGGACCCTCAATTGCATAAGGTCTAACCTGGGTGACACCTTCAACAACATTCTTTGCATCTGTTTCCACCACTGAAACGTTGAGTCCTACTTCAGCTGCAAACTTGAGGCCTTCTCGGACAGCGAAGCATTCAGCCATAAAAGGAGAAAAGTTTCCCCTGATTTTCTTGGCCATAGCTCCTAACACATCTCCTGAATGATCACGAATCACTGCTCCTACACCGATCCAAGCTAATCCCTCCACAACAGCGGCATCCACGCTCATCTTTAACACCCCCCTTTCACGACGACACCAGCCCTTTTTTTCCCGGTAGCGACTCTGAATCAATTAGCGAAGTCGCTTGTTAACCCACCCTATATTCAGATAGCCAATTGGTAGCACGATCAACAACCACCTCTGCAGGGGAAGAGGGCTCACCATGAACTTCACAGTTTCGGTCATACTAGAAATTCCAGCGAAAGATGCAAAATTGTTCAAAGTCTGGCTTCCCCCATCTTTTCTCAACAAACATCAGTACGTCGATGGGATTGAAACCTGAGAAATTGAAAATGGCATCCAAAAACTTGGTTTTCATCCATATTGCTTCTGCTTTGTCACATTTAAAAAAAGAGTGAAAGGTAGTCTCTTTCTCAGCGTGGCAATGCTGACATAATATGTCGCAGGAGATGCCTCTCTTCTGCAAATTAACCAAGACTGGCATGAAATCATTGGAGATTTTCCAAATCAAGATTTTTACCTTTTGAGGAATACCAAGGCCCCATATAGCCTTCCACCAACGCTTTTCTTTCTCGCTACTAGAGGCCGACGTCGCTCTCTAAGTTTCCATCATGGCTTTATATCCCGATCGGACTGTGTAACTTCCTCAGTCATCAAAATGCCAAACCAGCTAGCTAGTCTAAAGAATTTCCACTACTCAAAGGGACTTGGAGAATTGAGTCCCAATCCACTGGCCATAGGATCTTTCTAAGTTCTTCCATATCCCAGCTCCCTCCGTCGGGATTCATGAGCTCACTCACTTTCGTATCTTCATTGTCACTCCGTGGAGCTGTAATCGTCATGAAATAAGTTGGTTTTGGTATCCACGGGTCCTTAAAACACTCTCATGTTTCTGCCATGTCCAACTTTCTATCCATCCCTACTTTCAGAAGTTGTCGTCCCAACATCAAACTTCGCCATAAGATAGAGGAGTTGGATTTTCCCTTGACCTCCAATAGATTTCCATTAGGAAAGTATTTTGACTTTATAATTTGCCCTGAGATGGAGTGTGGATTCTGAAAAAGCTTCCAACACTGCTTGGCAAGCATGGCTTGGTTGAACACATTAAGGTCACGAAATCCCAGTCCCCCTTTAGCCTTCGGACAACACAATTTGTCCAAACTTGCCCAATAAATCTTCCGCTTGTTTGAATCACCACCCCACCAAAAGATTGCTACCATAAACTTTAAAAACATGAGTTCAAGTTCCCTTTTAACTCGAGTTTATAAACTTGAATTTAAGTTAATGAATAATATTTTTTCTATTATTAAAAATATTATAATTTTTTAATTTTAATTCTGAATGAGATAATTTTTTTTCTATACATTCACAACGAAAAGATAAATAAAAGCTCATCTATATACTCTATTAAAATTTTTCATCACTATTGACTTTTTATTAAAATACTATCTAAATATAAATTTAAATTTTGACTCATTCAAACACAAACTCAAAAAGATTCTCAATTCACATCCACACACAAACTCAAGTTATAATTTAACTCAAGTTATAACTCAAATTCAATTCAAAATTATCACTCAAGTCATCCTAACTCAAAAATATAAAAGAATAACTCCTTAATTCCTTGTTTGTTCTAGAGGAACTCTGATAGTACGAGTTGTTATTTTACTTTACAGGTAGAAATTATTGTTTTTTAATAGGTAAATTAGTTTTTCAATCACATTTAAAATTTATAATATGCGATACAAAAATTATTCATATTTTAAGATCAGACTCTTAAAAAATTAATTCAACGACTACAAAAACAATTCGCACAAGTAGGATAAAATAACTGTACTTATGATAAAAATTACGTTTGATTGGAGGATTCAAACTATGTGATTCGAATTATTTTTAATTTACGTATATTTTTTATGAAAAAAATACTATAACGAACTATGAATTATAATTTAAATGAAAGAACAAATCCCGAGAGTATAAGAAGCATTATTGGCCTCAACCAATTTGTTTTAAGAAAGTTATTGTCATTATTACTCTTCTCCGTAACTTCATCATATTCTTCTGCCAACGGAAAATTGAATGTCGTAGTAGCTGGCTAAGCTTGAAGTTCAAGCTTAGCTAGCTCAGGCAGGTAGCTTAGCTTAAACTGCTTTAAAAAGCTGGGTATTTCGGGTGTGAAAATTACTTTAGAGTAGTTATAATTATTATTAATAATTGCTTTATTGGTGGCGGGGTACGAGATTTATTACTCAGTTTGATAGAAACAAGGTGGCTAAAAGCAAAAGAACAAGAAAGAAAATCTTGACACTTGGTTTGATGGATGTATGAAACTTTAAAATGAAAAAAGTTTAGACCCAATTCATTTTATCGATTTAAATTTAAAATTTAAATTTTATTGTAGTAAAAAAAATTTAAAAATAATCACATTTAATTTTTTTATTATAGTAAAATATTTTCACATAAAATCACATTTCAACTCAAATTAAAAACTCGAATCGACAACGGGCCTTGAACTTGGCTTCAATGGGATTTTGTCGTATGTCGTGAAAATATTTACAAACCATGATACTGTTTACAGTAAGGGCAAACTAGCCTTTGTAATGACTAATGAGACGCAAACTGTAAAATCAAAGCATGAGAATCACTTTTATTGCGGAAGTAGAAACCTTGCATAGGTTATAGATGCATTTTGCATTCCTCAATAGTCTTGGATTTAACCGGGCTCAGAATTTCTGTTGATTTTTGGTTATTGGACCGTTCCTTCACTGTAAGCCCAAGCGTCTAGAACCATAAACCATCCCTCTTCTACTTTTTTTTTTTTTTTTTTTTGAAACCATCCCTCTTCTATTTTCCCTCTCTCATTGCCAGAATACAAACCTACAACCTCTCTCTCTCTCTCTCTCTCTCTCAAGAATTTACTACAAGATTTACTCTAATGGCTTATTGTTGTATGTATTTCACAATGTCTGTAGTGTTGGCTTTCATAGCCATCTCAACATCTCTGCATTCCAAACCAGGAGACCCAATTTCACCAGGCAAAGTTGCGTTCCATGAACTCTCGCTCAACGCCTCCAAAGCCCTGAGAAGAGCCGGGTTCAACTTCACGGCCACACTTTTTCAAGTATCTCCCGAGATCTTCCTTTCCTCTCCGAACTCAACAATCTTCGCCATCCAAGATCAGGTCATCTCCAACTCCTCTCTTCCTCCGTGGCTTCTGAAAGATCTCCTTCAATACCACACTTGTCCTCTCAACCTCCCAATGGATGAACTTTTAAAAAAGCCCCAAGGCAGCTGCTTGCCAACCCTCCACCGGAAAAAGAACATCGCCATAACCAAGATCGATTTGGAAGAAAAATCGATTGAGATCAACCATGTTGTGGTCTCACATCCGAATGTGTTTCTTGGGAAGACTATTTCGGTTCATGGGGTTCTTGAGCCGTTTTCTTCATTAGATCCTCAAGATGTTCATCAGGGTTGGAACATTATCCAAGCACCCATATGCGACTCCACGTCTGTTTTAGTTTCGGACGTTCTTGAATCAAAGAATATGGTGGAATGGTCATGGATCGTCCGTTTGCTGAGCTCGAATGGATTCATTCCATTTGCCATCGGATTGAATTCTGTTCTTGATGGGATTCTTGAAGATTACAGGGGTTTGGAATCTGTGACAATCTTTGCTCCTCCAAGTTTGTCATCTTTGACATCTGCTTCCCCTTTGCTCAAAAGAACCGTGAGGTTTCATATTCTTCCTCAAAGGTTGACATACCAAGAGCTTGCTGCATTGCCATCTGGGATGTTGCTCACTACTCTATCTCCTGATCTACATGTCGAGGTCAGAGGCACAGCGAGTTTTGAGCAAGGACTGGTCGTCAACGGGGTCAAAATTGCGGCACCTGACATGTTTTCTTCAAAGAATTTCACCATACATGGGATCTCACGGGCTTTTGAGGTTGTTCAGGCTCCTGATACACCTGTATAGTGGTTGGAACAGAACTTCTAAGTATGTAAACTTTGTTGTCTACAGTGTAAAAATAGCTAGTTACTTGGTTGAGCTTCTCCATTGTCTCGTTCAATTTGTTTGGTTGATCATGAAACATTGAAATATTTTCTTCTTGCAAAAATAAAATTTTGTGTGTTGTCTCTATGAAATCTTACACTTCCCGAGTATTCAGTAGGAACAAAAAACTGATCAACTTATCGGAGTAGCTAATATTGAACATGCGAATGTTGAAAACGGAAGATTTTAGGCAAAACTGGTGCAGGCAATTCATCCTCCAGTTTCAGAGATAACTGTAGTCATGAAATTATAATAGAAGGGCCAGAAAAAGCTCTCCTTTCATTATGGTTCTAAAAGATCACTTTGCCAAACTTATTTTAGAAAGGATCAATGCAAAGTCCTCACCTTTGGGATGTATATAGTGATAAATGATGCATTACATCCATATATTTTTACCACAATTTTTTTCTATGCTCACGGGTCATTGAATTTCAGTTCCATATTTTCCAGCATAGCTGAGTAAAGTCACTTCACCCACATTGCATAACCCAATTCAACATCATCACGAACACAGAAAACAACATAACAAAAAAAAAAAAAAAATCAGAAAAAAGTGAAAAACATTTACCAAATTCAGGAAGAAATTCTCTTGGTCCTCCTCATAACAATCCTCGTCATTCTCAAACCACTCAAAGTCACATTCACCGCACCGACAAATCTCGACTTCCCAAACAAGCTCACAATCTCCCCAACCTCCATATCCCCACACTCCTCCACAGCAACCACGCACGCGCCGCTGTCCCGAACCGTCCTCTCCATCTCCGACATAAACCTAGACGGGAACAACGCCTCGGCCAGGTGGGCGCTAAATGCCAAATCAAAGACCTCGTCGAAAAACGGCAGGTTGTGCGGGTCGGCCCGGTCCACCAGCGGCGGAGATTCTACCACCTCGACTGCGGTGACGTCGGCGACGCCCATCTGGGCCAGGGCCATGGCCTCGTGGCCGGCGCCGGCGGAGACGCAGAGAACCTTTGAGTGGTTGTGGAGGAGGCCCAGATCTCGGAAGAAGGCGGCGTAGGAGGAGACCTTGGATTGCCAGGAACGGGAGGACCAGAGGCGCGTGTTCTTCTTGTGGAGGGTCGTGGCGGCGCGTGGAGAGGAGTCGCAGGAGGATTTGGGGAAACGGAGGTTCGAGGAGGAGGAGATGACGCAGGTATCGGGGGTTTGGAGGAAGACGAAGAGGAGGGTCAATGTGGCTATGGCTATGGAGGCGTAGGAGAGTCTGTTGAGGAAGATTTGTACGTGCCTTTCCATTTTTGTTTTGGTTCGGGTCTTCTCCTCTCGTGCCTTTCGATTCGATGTGTTTCTTCCCTCTATTTGGACTTTGGAGAAACGCCAAAGAACAAAAAGCAGAGTTAAACGTCATGTCGTTTCTATGGCTTTCTTTTCCTACTTGTTAGAATGGGACGACATGTCGTTAATATAGCAAGAAAACGACATCCTTTTATGGAGCAAAACTGACAGAACTTAGAACAACGTATCCTTTTATTCTGGATTTCTTGCTGTTGGCGTCAGAGTTGCCTCCCTTGTTTTTTGAAGAAAAATTTGGACGCGCACGCTTGTGACTCCTTGACTCAATAACAATGGACGTACTGTTTACCAAAAAAGAATTTCTCTCTCTACCCGCCTGTCTCTCTCTCTCTCTAAAATCCCTCTCTTCTTCCCAAAACCCCACCTCCCCAATTTTCTCGGAGGGAGAATGTTATTTTCTCGGGGATTTCGTTAGATTCCGAGAAGTACGATTCGAGAAACAACTTCAAGGTTAGGAATTAAAATTCTAATTTAATATTCTGCTAATGTCAGGGAAATAATATGTCGTTTCTATACTCAAACGACATATAATAAAAAAACGACAGAAAGAAGAGACGACAACATGTCATATTAATGAAAGAAACTACATGAAAGCTAGCCAAATGAAGTGCTGAGCGTTTTATTAAAGTGAAAACGAACACCTTGTATACAAAAACATACACGTTTCTCTTGAATGCCTTTTATACAAAAACAACATGAAGTGCTTTTTAAATGAAGTGCTATGTCGTTTCTCTTGATTGCCTTTTTGTTTAAAAAAACACACACCTTGTTCCTTTGAAAAACAAAAAACGAACTATTTTGTTGGTTGGATAAACTAAACACGATGTCGTGCTTCTGCAAAGTTTACATGTCGTTCACTTTGTAAAGTATTTACAAATGACAACCGACATATCGGTTTTCTGTCTTGAAAGATGCATGTTATGTTGTGGTATGTTTTCTATTCATTCATTCATACATTTATTTAAATCCAACTACCCTGTCCCCCTGTGATACGTTTCCGCGAGATGTTTTGAATTGTTTCACAGTGAACTGAGAATTAAAACAGTTACTTAGAAGAAAAAATGGACCCTTCACAAAAACAGTTTCCTTACGCGGTGAACATGAAAAATATTGCATGAGAAGTCTCAAAGCTTAACATTGATGAGGAGGTTATTTGTCAATAAATCAAGTACTTTTAAGTTTAAATATTTGTGAGTTTTTATTTTTGTTAACTTGATATGTTTTTGTGTGTTTTTGTACGAATAATTAATAAATGAGAAATTAGGTGAAAACAAGGAATAATTAGTGTTTTGGGAATCTATTGAAATGAGCCAGGGACAAGGGTAAGGACCCGTGCAAAACGCTGCGCGAAACGGGGCGATTTCCAAGAGTAGCCCTGGGCAAGGGCTGGTGCACGCCTGGCAGCAAGCCAGGCGCTGCAGCACGTGCGCTTTAGGTGCCCAGCTCACAGCATGCGCTGCGCACCCGCGCCATGATGGGCGTGTGGACGCACACAGCCGCACCCCTCCTATATTGAAACGAGGTTTTTGGGTTTTTTTGGCCCTTGATCATTATGGTTGGCCATTTTTGACCATTGGATAAGTTTAGATGAAGTTATTCTCCAATTTTGGGTACACTTAAGCAAGAGGAACCCTAGTTCCCAACTTAGAGAGGATGAGAGGCACAAAAATTCCTAGAAAGAGAAGCTTGGAGTTAGAGATTTTTGAAGAATACTTGGGAGAAATTCTTGAAGATTTGAAGACTTGAAGCTCATCTCTACAAGAGTTTTCTCCATTTTCTTTGTAGTTTTTTAGTTTTTGTTCTTAAATGTGTGATTTTGGTTATGGATTCCTTTATGTTGAGCTAGACTTCATAATCTAGGGTTTGATGTAGCTTTATTTGAACCATGTTTTGATTATCTTGTCAATTGTTAGTTAAATTCCATCTTATATTACGTTTCTCTATCCTTAATGCTTCTAATTTATGTGGCTAATGAGTTAGATAATTTTAGATTGCGATTTTGATGCTCGAGAGAGATTGATTTCATAGTCTAGAATTGAGAAACATAGTCTAGTTTGTTGTGAGTCCGAGAGGAGATCAACACTTTGATAATCTCCTGGAGAGTCTAGGATATTATGAGACCAAGAGGTGATCAAGACCTTGATTATCAACTAGGATTTTGATTTTTCTGAGGCTTGGAGGCGATCGGCATTTGAGTTCTAATTTAAGGGCTAAACTTAATGAGTGTATGAGTAAATGGGTTAGATAGAAATATTGATTAGGATACTCATGCATATGACTTCGTTTGACACTCGGGAGAGGTAGCAAGGTTAGATTAGGTTACTTGATTAATGAATGAAGTGGAATTAGCTAGCATTGGCTTAATAAGATGAACAAAAGAATAATAAGGTGAAGTCACGTCTCTCGTACATTTGTGTATAGAAGTTTTCATATTTTATCTTATTTTTGTATTTATATCTATTTAAGTTATATTTTATTTCATTTACTTCGGTTGTCTAGATAAAATTGAGTTACGATAATCACGGTACTTAACGGTAATTTAACACTCAATCTCTATGGAAATGATACTCACTCACCCTATACTATCAAAACTTGACACCGTACGCTTGCGGGGGAACAAACATCTACACGCACTTACATTCCATAAGTCTTACCAGTTGTGAGTCTCTTGGCAACTTCGGTTGAAGAATTTTTTTGCGTATAAAAATATTTAATTTTCATAATTTATTAGGAAGATCAAACTTTCCTTTAAATATGAACAATTTTAGAAATCTAACACTTAACAGTTTACGCCAAACATAAGAAAATATTAGACATTTGTTGTCCTTATATATATATTTAATCTCTCTTAGTTCTGACAAGCTGACCATAGCTTATGACCAGGAGCCCAATTGGGGCATTTTGGACTGAAGTAATTGGAAACTACTCTCGAATTTAAAAGCTGCAGAATCGAAGCTTGTTTGACGCAGCGTGGCGCTTTATACTGATTTATGGACGCACCTTGGCCAAGTGCATAGTCCATGAGCTTGTCAAACGTTCCGTTCTCCACTATTTTGATCTCCAACGGGCCAATGGACTTGTCACAAACTCGGCCTTGGCGGTATACACTGTTGAGGGATTCTTCGACTGTAAGGCAACACTCCTCAAAGACCGAAGCAGGAATTATTGTGGTTGTGCTGTTTTCGATGATCTCCCAATAGAGGACATAGTGCCCCGGAATGGTTGATGTGTCGGCAAAACTTGTGTATTCTATGAGAGTGGCACCAAAAGCGTGAAGATGCTTGTTGGTTGCATTCTTCACCGCGTTTTGTAGCTCGACTTCATTGGTTTTGTCAGAATCGATGCTGAGAACCACGTTCTTTCTGCACACGAAGTTGAATTGCGGCGCCTTGTTCTTGAAGCTCGCTACTCTTAGTATGTCTCCGACACGATAGCGATAAAGCCCTGCAAGATCATGTCAGGGTGTGTGACACTCGAAATTTTTTCAACGTGCATTAATGTCTATGTTTTGCAAATCTATATGTTACTAATTTCAAATATACTACATATATATATATATATATATATATATTTATATATTTATAAATGATGAGAGATCGATGATGACTTTTATCAAAGCTACTCAAAACATCTCAATATTTTTAATTTGTACACTATTTAATTCCAATATTGTTTCATTTACAAAACGTATACTATTATGTGGAGTAGATCTCTAGAACGGAAATTATTTCCAAAAAAAAAAATAATAATAATAAATGGAGAGTGGATAAAAGATAAAAGGCGGGGCAGCTTACCATATTTCAACTAGGTTGCCACCAACAACTTAGTCATCACAAACTCCTAATTACTCAAATGTATTAACGAAAGAATATTAAAGAAATAATAATCCAGCGAAGTATTAATACCTGAATAGGTGGTGACAACAAGTTCGTATTCTTCTCCAACTTTCACGTCAACAAGATCAAGCAATTCATGGTTTTTGTCTTTGCCAAGAGATACCGGATCGGAAATGGAATTAACACGTCCATTTTTCCTATGCACGGGCAAGAACTCAAAATAGGCCATAGTGGGAATAAGGGTGTAAGAGACTTCACTTGGTTTACACAAAGGATTCAGATTGATACCAAAGTAACACTCCGAGGAGGCATACATGGTGCAAACAATGGGTAGGCCATTGCTATAAAAGTCAAGGGTAGGAATATATTGTGACATAGTTCCAGTCACAATAACATCAATATACTTGGTGTTTGGCCACAACCTAGTTTCTTTCCCACACTCAGCCTCAACAAAATTCGCGAGCTCCTTATCCGGTTTGAGAATCTTCATGACGGAATCTCTCACCGAGGAGTCGTTGATCTTGGAGCTGTTTAATTTTCCGGTCCTAATATCGTTAGCCAAAGAGACCCAATTCTTTTCAAGGAACTTAATAGCACGAATGAACCCGGATGCGAAAACCGCCCCAACGCGAAGAACTTCCCTGTTTTGACAGAGCCCGCAAAGGAGCTGAGAGTACATGCTTTGGTATGAATCTGGGCAGAGAATAGTCTCGTTTGGGCTGGTGTAGTTAGTGTAAGGATCACCAACACGGTTTCGAAAATGAGAGCTCTTGTAGTAGCTGGATAGAACCGGACGAGCAACGAGTCCACTTGGGGTCTTGGCCTCCGATTTTGTAAACAAAAAATACATTCCTTTACCTTTGTCCAAACCGGGAATGAATTGGTTCATCACAGGGATTAAGAGGCTGTAAAGCAAAGATCTCCTATCGAGCTCCTCTTCTATGGTTGGCATGAGTTTCCTCTCCCCCTGGGATGTCCCGGAACTAATTTATATCGCACATGAAAATTAAAAAAAAAAATATTATTAACCCCGGTACAGCAAATATATTAGGAGATAATAAGGATGGTATGAACAAATATCTTACTGAGACGACAACTTTTAACTGTCATATCATATCAAATAAATAACGACATGATAATTTAATGGAACTTGATCATAAATATTACAGTTAAAAACTCAAAAACTCTCTCTTAACGTTATAGTAGAATTCTCTAATATAAATGAAACAACAAAAGCTAATTGTACTAGAAGATAGTAGTGCCCGTTACCGATAATTCATGTTAAATTAGAAAAGTGTAAAATTCAATATATATTTCGATCGTAAATATCTAACAGTTAAAAGATGTGCATGTCTTAGTAGTAGAGTATTGTTTTCATGTTTTACGAAAGGCGAGAAACAGTAAAAGGTAATTACCTAGTTAAGAACTCAGAAATGGGTACGGAGCAAAGAATTGGAGAGGTGTCGCCATTAGCGATACGGTCAATATCAGGCTTCAGATCCTCATATTTGACGATAGGCATCACCTTCTTGAAAGTTTCTCTATCGGTGTGGCCGTTGTGGCCGTGTCTTTGCAAGTACTCGACGCTGGCACTGCGTGAGAGGATTTCGGCAAGGACTCGTGTTTGCACTTCATCGGCATTACTTGTAACATCTTCGATGTATTGCAACGACTTCTTATTTTTATCGTCCATGACATGACCACACAAGTTCTTAGGAGCTTCTGGCATACTTGTAACTCAGTAAACAGAATACGCTTTGAGAGTGAGGGAATTCAAGTGCAAAGCTCTAGCCTAGCTTTGTAGAATTGGATGTATGGATAATATGATGAGAAATGAAAACAAGCCATGGGTTTATATAGAGGAAACAAGGAAGGTGGCCGGCCATTTGGGAGTGGAATACCCTTTTGTACTATTAAAAGTATATCTTGTTTCTTTTGCTAATAATTGAAAGTATTAATGTGTCTAATCAAACGGTAAGGGTAGTTTAGGAAGCCTGCTCATAGTGATTGGCAATTCCTTTTTCCTGTGGACTTAGAAAAATTAACGCAAAACAAAAATCTTATAGCTTTCCAACTAGTAAAAAATTGCTTGTGTATAACATAAATTATTACATATTATGAGTCGTGGTCCCAAAACTGATACGTAAATTTGTGATATATCAATCCCAAAAGTTTAAGCTGATAGGAGGTAGGTCAACAATAGTTTTATATTTTAACACTTTGGTAAACTAATATGGTATCAGAGTGGGAGGTATTGAGTTCAAACCCCCGTAATTACAGTCCTCATTTAAATTGTCATCATGTGTTGGGTTTTTAATATATTTCGGGCTTAAATATTCACGTGTTGGGCTTTTCAATTAATTTACCCACACGATTATCCATTGTCTAGCCCACACTGAGAGAGAGTGTTAAAATATTAAACTATTGTTGGCACACCTCTTAAAAGTTTAAGCTTTTGGGATGAATTTATAAACTAACATACGTAAACCAGCGATAATGTGTGAACAAAAAGGGAAATTAATATGTGGTCAAACTCATTAGTATATGGATTTAGCGTATAATATAAGCGTACAAATTAATAAACCAGGGGGTTTTGTTGAGAAATCTGGTAGCGGTTTCCTTAATCTCGCTAAAAAGGAAAATATTGGCTTCCGATTCACGGTTCATTTTCGTACCCGCGGACACCAATTTCTCACGATACTTCATAAGTAAGCAAAACGATGGCTACTATATATACGAATAATGTAAGAAACTCATGAATGAGAGTGAGCTTTGATTCTACTCATGATGGGCTTATTTTATCCAATTCCTCTTATTCATCTCAAGCTGGCAAAAATATATAAAAAAATTAAAAAGAATAATATACATACATATATATATGTGTATATGAGTAGTGTCATATAGGTATACAATAATTAAGGACATGGCTTTTAAGTTTAAGGTTTCCAAGTGGTAGTCATCGATTTATGAAATTTAGATCAATCGAGCTCAATGCTAAAAACAATATATATGTATATATATGTATATATGTATGTATATATATATATATATTAACAACAATCGAAGATAAGCTCTTGCAAGGTGACTAGTCGGACTTTGAAACTCGAAGGTCATACAGTTTAAAGCAATATTATTTGTCTCTATGTGGTTATACCATACTTTTCTACATCTTATAGTGCGTTGATCACATAATTTGTCCTGATATTCTTTTTCGCTCTTTTTTTTAAATAAAATTATTCGCTGGTTACCGCTTATTGTCTAGCACGTGTAGTAACGAAACCATAACTCATGCAATTAATATCTTTTGGGGATAGTGATTTCAGGGTGAAAGTATCCGCATACTGAGCTATCATTTTTTTTTTTTTTTTTTTTTTTCTAAATAAGCTCAAATGCAAATTATTATTATTATTATTTTTTTAATTTCTCTATGTTCTTTGAGATACTGTCATTCAATATGCACATCCACTCAACCAATTAGGGTTCCTATCACTTTAAAGCTCTTTCTTCAACCAGTTTTCCTCGACGTGGACGGTGAACAATTTGTCTCGTACGTGCTGAAGAAAATGAAATTATTGAAAATAACTATTGTCATTTTAGTTGGCGAGGGAAGCAAAATAGAATGAGAGAGCACTATTAAGTTCCTGTTTGTTGTACTGTTAGAAAAAGATTCTCCATGGAAAAATCATGTTTGTGCTAAACTCCATCGGTTCTGTTGAGTTGGAGAATATATCTCTTATGTGTGTGTTTCAAGTTTCTTCCACGTTAACCTTCCAAACTTCGCCTCCGTTTAGTTGGTTGGTACGAATTTTGTTAATTTGAATTTTGTATTTGAACAAAAAAATTTAAACTGTGATTTAAAGTGTAGTCCGAATTGAGTACATTTGGATGTGCAGTTAAAATTCTAATATGAACAGAGAATAAAATTTAAATTTATGCGTGTTAGGTGTAAAAAAGCACAGAGAGAGCACATTTTTACTCTTCCAAAACGGTTTGAATAGTTAAACTTAAGAGAGGAGATAATTATACAGTTTAATTCACTTCAAATGAAGAATATAATTCAAACTGTTTGCTTATCAAACACGAGTTTAAATTGTACTTACCGTTTGAATTGAGTTGAACTGAACTAAACTAGTGAAACAAATGCTTATTTTTATTTCAACGTATTTAAGCAGAAGATAATTATTCGACTGATAACTAGCTAGCAAGCTAGGTATTCTAAAGATTCGACTGCTTTTCGAGAGCTAGATATAACGAAATATGTACATAGCTAGCAAATCCCCATACGAAAACAAGAGCAAGTACACTTTTTTTAAGAATTATTATTATTGGACTTATACTTGATCTCGATGTGATTGTCACTTGGACGGAATATAAAAAATTACCTGTGATTGCCCGAGAAACTTCTGAACACACAAATACAATTATTCTCACTGTGTGTTCAGTGTACATACTATGTGCACACTATCAATAATGTGAAAATAACGCAATTTGGTCATACAATATATCTACAAATCCCCGGCTTATAGAAACCGCATTTTCTCAGCCATTAATTCCTCTAAATTCTAGGACATATATATATATATATATATATTAATGGGAAGATTCTATAGATCAAAACTCAAATTCTAGGACATATATATTTGAGATCTAAGTTATTCGCATACACATATTAAACATATTTATATATATTATATAAATGTACGTAACATATATTGTAGGGTAAAATTTCAAACCCTAAGTTGGGCATTAGATGGACTTACGCGTCATAATTAAGGGTATTAAATGATCATCAAAGACACCTCTATCTTAGTTGCTATGTCAGATGACCGTTTTTTTAAGAGTAGACTGCAAGTAAAGGGAGTGGTGTACAAAGGCGATTGACCGCTTCAAGGAGTTAAAAACAACAGGAGGTCGATCGCACTAGCAGTTGTAAGCGGAGATGGCTCTGAGAGCGCCTACGAAGTCAAGTCTACGCAGATTGAGAGAGATACGAGACATACTCTGAGATTTGTGATTTGTAATTAAAATATACGGGGTAAAGAAGTAAGTGAGGAAATCATACTGATTGACAGAAAATCTCAACCTACTAGGGGATATTATCCCAAAATATGAAGAAAATATCCCTGAATAAAATAAGAAAACGTACAGAGACTACAGGAGATATAAAATAAGGAGAGGTCTACTTCAGAAAGAGAGAGTCTGTAATCTTTTAAAAATGATAGTGAATTTTTTCCCCCTCATAATGGACGTAGCTCTTAAATTAAAGGTGAATCACTATAAATCTTTCTGTGTTCTAACTGCTTAATCTTTCCTAATCGTATTTTTTATCATCTAAATTGCATAAACTTTTAAAATTTAATATATTTTTATTGACAAATTTCTACCCTTAATAACATATCTATATGCAATCGTAATGTGTGGTTAATTTGTCGGTTCCTATATTCAAATTTGCATATGCAATCGTAATGTGTGGTTAATTTGTCGGTTCCTATATTCAAATTTGCATATGCAATCGTAATGTGTGGTTAATTTGTCGGTTCCTATATTCAAATTTGCATATGCAATCGTAATGTGTGGTTAATTTGTCGGTTCCTATATTCAAATTTGCCACCCTGCAGGGGTAGAAATCGTACTGCTATGATAAGGAACGTTATCGCGTGAACGTCACCATTCACCACAAAATTCTACTGATTGAGGATAACAAAAGCCATTGACAACACAAACCCACTTAAAAAAAGAAAAGAAAAGAAAAAAAAAAACAAACACATACCCACTTTTGCAACCTCATGTCTCCTCCTACGCCCACGTAACGTCACTTGCAGTAGATAGGTGTCGAAACCCGTTGGCTTACTATATGACCACAATTAACAATTTATTAATTGTATAATTTTATTATTCTAAATTCTTTTCACAACTCAAATTGAGAATTTAAATTTAAAAATAAATTTTACATGAGAAAAAATATTATAGAAAAAAATTAAAATTAAAAATTTTTGTAAGAAAAGAATAAATACTACAATAATAATTTGAGTTGTAATTAAAATGGTGGAGAAAACACGCGTTATCCACCGCCAACAGTCAACCCCAGGAAAGAGTCGATGCATTGCTTAGGCATGAGAAAGCGGGTTTTAGAGCTCGCACCAAGGCAGGGGATCACGTATTGCCTTGTGCTTGTTGATCGGATATATTGATTTGGACTTTGTAGGGTTTCGGGAATTTTGTTTCTCACTCTCTTTTTATATTGCCTTGCTATTTGTGCACGGAATTATAATTTGGTTTTGCGTGCCCCTATTCTTGATTTCATCGACTTAGCTTTAGAGAAAAAAAAAAAATATATATATATATATATATATATATCTAATTTAAAGATGTTAGGCTGGTACGTGAAACATCAATGGCAATGTTTTCCGAGCGGTTAATTTTCACTATTTAATTTTGATATATTTATGGGAGATTTCTAGGTATGTTAATGAAAAAATAAATAAATTATCAGTAGCCTTTTATATTTAACCGCCCGTCTATGTTAGAAACTATAAGTTATGTATTATTTTTTAAAGATTATTATTATAAATGTCCTTGAATTATGTACCACCATCTTTTAAAATGCCCTCTAATTTTGCAAAACAATTCAAAACATCCTATGATATATATAAAAAGAATCAAATTATCCTTTCCGTCTAAAACCGTCGATAAATTTAACAGAATTACCTATGTGCCATACCATCAAAA